TTCAAAGTGAGCCCCCATCACAGGCCAAGTTACAGAGCTATTATTAGGCTTATCATGCGCTGTATTTTAATTGTTGGGGGGGGGGGGGGGTAGGGTTATTGTGTGGGAGGGGTAATATTACTGTGGGAGGGACGGATATCTCTTCATGCTAAATATTAAAACCTTCACCCCTTTTCTAAACCATTTATTCTCTACTTGAATATATATATATATATATATATATATATATATATATATATGTCGTACCTAGTAGCCAGAACGCACTTCTCAGCCTACTATGCAAGGCCAGATTTGCCTAATAAGCCAAGTTTTCCTGAATTAATATATTTTCTCTAAATTTTTTCTTATGAAATGATAAAGCTACCCATTTCATTATGTATGAGGTCAATTTTTTTTTATTGGAATTAAAATTAACGTAGATATATGACTGAACCTAACCAACCCTACCTAACCTAACCTATCTCTTTAGTTTAGGTTAGGTTAGGTAGCCGAAAAAGTTAGGTTAGGTTAGGTAGGTTAGGTTGTTGAAAAACAATTATTTCATGAAAACTTGGCTTATAGGCAAATCGGGCCTTGCATAGTAGGCTGAGAAGTGCGTTCTGGCTACTAGGTACGACATATATATATATATATATATATATATATATATATATATATATATATATATATATATGTATATATATATATAAATATATATATATATATATATATATATATATATATATATATATATATATGTATATATATATATATAAATATATATATATATATATATATATATATATATATATATATATATATATATATATATATATATATGACTTACCAAAACACAAATTAAAACATCCTCGTATCACCCCCCTCAATTCCACCCCCCCCCCCAACCACCCCCACTATCCCCCCTCCCTTTCCACCTCCCTACACCCCCCCTTTCATCACCACACTACCGCTATCTTTTTTAATTAAGCTTAATCAAGCATTTACAAAATTATAAACAAAACTATAAATTTTGGGGAGGACGCTTTAGACAACTCAAAAGCTTAACCACTTAAAAAAAAAACAATTAGGTTGTTTGGGTGAATATTTTTGTGTATATACGGACCAACACACTGTTTAACCTCTATCTTCAACCTCTCTTCTCTCCTCCTCTTCTGTCCTCCTCACCTCTCCTCTCACTTTCCCTCTCCTCTCCCCTCTCCCCTCTCCCCCCCTTTCCTGCTACTTAGCCTCCCCCCCTCCCCCCTCTCCCAGGCTCTCCCCTACCCCGTCATGGGAGTAAATTTACCCTCACATTAAATATCCTCAAGCCAAGGCAACCCAATATACAATAAGTCAAAAATATATTTAAAAATACTGCCTATAAATATCTCCCCTCGGGCGCAACACACACACACAATAATATATATATATATATATATATAATATATATATATATATATATATATATATATATATATATATATATATATATATATATATATATATATATATAATATATATATATATAATATATATATATATATATGTTGTTAAATATGACCGAAAATGTAAGATTAATAATTCTAACACGAATTTTCTCAATATTTCTTATGTTTCTTTTTACTGTCGATGGTAATTGAAAAATCAATTCTCCAAAATTCATTTTTATTTTATTTATTACAAACAAGAAATAAAAATGAATTTTGGAGAATTGATTTTTCAATTACCATCGACAGTTAAAAGAAACATATATACATAATACAATGTTAACGGTTTTGAACCTAACAACCTATATTCTGTATACTCACTACAGTCACTATACAAGCCCAGGTTAAGTCCCTACACCATACACGGCCTCCACATGGGCCAGGCCCAAGTGAGGATTGCGCGGAGTGAGGATGCTCACCCCCGGGGTCCCCCCCCCCACCAGACCTCGACATCACTGCGCTTCAAGTGGGACTCAAGACCCCCTGAAGGACGAGCCCTCGAAATCTTCCTTCCTCACAGCCTCGGGCCAATAAAAATATTGGACACAGTATTTACATAATCCACTTATCCGTTAACTACTCCGTATTCAAATTTGGCCACAGGCTGCATTTGATATATATTTAATAATAATAATAAATAATAATTATTATAGTGAATAATAATATCAAGATATGAATAAAATGCAATACAAAATTTAATAAAATTGAGAACGTTTTGGTAAAAAATGGAAAACATTTGTGTGAGCCGAGTTTATACGTTTAATGGAAGGCATTCAGTTCTCAGCGGCCGGCCAAGATAGATCTTAAAATTTAGTTAGGATTACGAAGCTCACGAGAGTAATTTTGGCGGGTTATAATTCCCTATTGCCAGGATGAGTCCTGAGAGGAGAGTCCTGAGAGGTAGAGTCCACATGGTGAGTCCTGAGAGGTAGAGGCCACATGGTGAGTCCTGAGAGGTAGAGGCCACATGGTGAGTCCTGAGAGGTAGAGTCCATATGGTGAGTCCTGAGAGGTAGAGTCCACAAGGTGAGTCCTGAGAGGTAGAGTCCACATGGCGAGTTCACATGGTGAGTCCACATGGTGAGTCCACATGGTGAGTCCTGAGAGGTAGAGTCCATATGGTGAGTCCTGAGAGGTAGAGTCCACAAGGTGAGTCCTGAGAGGTAGAGTCCACATGGCGAGTTCACATGGTGAGTCCACATGGTGAGTCCACATGGTGAGTCCTGAGAGGTAGAGTCCATATGGTGAGTCCTGAGAGGTAGAGTCCACATGGTGAGTTCACATGGTGAGTCCACATGGTGAGTCTACATGGTGAGTCCTGAGAGGTAGAGTCCACATGGTGAGTTCACATGGTGAGTTCACATGGTGAGTCCACATGGTGAGTCCACATGGTGAGTCTACATGGTGAGTCCTGAGAGGTAGAGTCCACATGGTGAGTCCACATGGTGAGTTCACATGGTGAGTCCACATGGTGAGTACATGGTGAGTCTACATGGTGAGTCCACATGGTGAGTCCACATGGTGAGTACGACATCTGTGCCTCATAGGCGTACCACATACACACATACATCACATATCTGTAAAACACAGCTGAACACAAAGCTGTACTACACATCTGTACCACTACAGCTATACAAAGCATTTGTACCACACACCTGTACCACACAAATGTACCAAACACCTGAACCACATGTACAATGCACGCCTGCACCACACAGTTGTACCACAAATTGGTACCACACACACCTGTACCTTACAGCTGTGCCCCACACCTTTACTAAACATCTGTACCACACAGTTCTACCTCACAGCTGTACAAAAAAAGCTGTACCATACACCTGCACCACACAGCTGTAACACACACCTGCACCAAAGCTGTGTTATACACCTGCACCACACAGCTGTACCATACACCTGAACCACATAGCTGTACAATACACCTGCACCATACAGCTGTAGCACACAGCTGCACCACACATCTGCACCAAACATCTGCTCTTCACAGCTGCACCACACATCTGCTCCACACAGCTGCACCACACACCTACACCACACATCTGCTCCACACACCTACACCACACACCTGCTCCACACAGACACGCATATAATCCTCCATTTAAATTCTTATTCACTTCGTCGCAACTTACAATTTTCCTCTCCAACTGAAGCAGTAAATCTTGAGCGAGTTAAATGGTGGTCCTGGTGAGGTGAATGGTGGTCCTGGTGAGGTGAATGGTGGTCCTGTGAGGTGAATGGTGGTCCTGTGAGGTGAATGGTGGTCCTGTGAGGTGAATGGTGGTCCTGGTGAGGTGAATGGTGGTCCTGTGAGGTGAATGGTGGTCCTGTGAGGTGAATGGTGGTCCTGTGAGGTGAATGTGGTCCTGGTGAGGTGAATGTTGGTCCTGGTGAGGTGAATGTTGGTCCTGGTGAGGTGAATGTTGGTCCTGGTGAGGTGAATGGTGGTCCTGGTGAGGTGAATGTTGGTCCTGGTGAGCTGAATGTTGGTCCTGGTGAGCTGAATGGTGGTCCTGTGACCTGAATGGTGGTCCCAGCGAGCTGAATGGTGAGTGGTGACGTCATGGCCAGGGGGGGGGGAGAAATAATGACGTCACCTTCCGTAAGCAACAATGACGTCATGGCCAGCGGGGCGGAAATGACGTCACCTTCCAACATTCCATATTTTTTTTATTTATTAAACTATTATCCCAAAGTTATTAAAGTGGAAATTTTATGAATTATATATTCATGAATCACACATCTTCCTCGGACTCTCAAGAGAGGGTGGAGGTGGGAAGGAAATGAACTAACTCGCGGTAACATTTTTAAAACATTTTTCACCCTCAGTTTACATAATTTCTGGACGAGTGGCGGGAAATTCGAATCTCCGGGAGACTCGCTCTGGAGGATATTTTATTGGAGGGTTCGTTCCCTCGGATCTAATTCATCCGCCATCAGCTGAGTACGCGCGTTTTTTCCCCCCTTCTAAAGAGCTTATAAGCGGGAATAAAGTTAGGGTACTGGACGTTGTAATGTGTGCGTCAGGATATTGTTGGAACCACGAAGCCTCATCGCCCGCCATGTTCAAAACAACATATGCTCCAACACATGTGCCCAGGCACATGGTTCAAACACATGCTCCTCCAACACGTGTGCTACAATTTCCATGATTGCCAGGAAGTTCTTGGCACTGTTCGTCGCATGTCACTCCTATACAAACTGGAAAAACAGGCTGGTGTATCACGCAGAGAACTACAGTGTGTGAAGGAGTACCTTTCAGAAAGAAGACAAACTGTCATAGCAAGAGAACTGTCAGAATACAGAGAGGTATAACCCTGGAAACACAAACCGAAACTGTCTCCATTTTCCGCTTGTTACAACTTGTAATAAAGTTGTTACATCTTGACTTAACGTGTTTATGACGTATTAGAACGTTGTTACAACTTGCTATATTGGTTGTTATAACTGGTTAGGTGTTAAAACTTGTTCGAACGTTGTACCAACGTCGTAGTTTCGGTGTGTGTTTGGCGGGTAACGAGTGGTGTACCTCAACATTCGGTATTGGAACCCATATTGTTTTTAATATACGTAAACGATCTAACAGAGAAAGAATGCTCATTCTTATCCATGTTTGCTAACGACGCTGAGTTAATAAGGCCAATCAGAACTGAGGAGGACTGCAATGCACTACAAGAAGAACTACCCAATCTCCAGAGATCGAGAAATGGCTACTAGAATTTAACCCTGACAAATGTAAGGTTATGAGGATGAAGTTGAAGCAAGAGGGCCACATCACCAGGATAACGAGGACAACATACGCTATACTGACTAACGTCTGGTTATCCTTCACCAACTTGGACAATGATATCTTCCGAGCGCTATATACCTACTTTGTGAGACCTATTATTGAGTATGCTGCCCCGGCATGGAACCCTCACCTAAAGAGGCACAAAACAAAATAGAAAAGGCCCAAAAATATACAAAAAGTTTCGTTCCTGTGGTAAGGGGACTGAGCTATGAAGAAATACTGAGGGAACTGGACCTCACTACCCTGTAGGAAAGACGGAATAGCGCAGACATGATAACGACATGGACAAACTGAAGGAATGGTCCGACAAATGGTTGCTAGAGTTTAACCCAAGAAAATGTAATGTAATGAAGATAGGTGTAGGGAGCAGGAGACCAGATACAAGGTATCATTTGGGAGATGAAATTCTTCAAGAGTCAGAGAGAGAGAGAAAGACTTGGGGGTTGATATCACGCCAGATCTGTCCCCTGCAGCCCACATCAAGAGGATAAGATCAGCGGCATATGCCAGGTTAGCCAACATAAGGACGGCCATTAGAAACTCATATAAGGAATCATCCAGAACCTTGTATACCATATATGTTAGACCAATCCTGGAGTATGCAGCTCATGCATGTAGTCCGTATCTCATCAAGCACAAGACTAAATTGGAGAAGGTTCAGAGGTATGCCACCAGACTAGAACCCGAGCTGAGGGGTATGAGCTACGAGGAGAGACTACGGGAGCTAAACCTCACGTCATTGGAAGACAGAAGAGTTAGGGGAGACATGTTCACCATATAGGATTCTCAGAGGAATTTATAGGGTAGATAAAGAATTTATTTAACACAGGTCACACACGCACTAGGGGACACAGGTGGAAAATGAGTGCCCAAATGAACCAAAGAGATATTAAAAAGAGCTTTTTTTTTTAGTGTCAGAGTGGTTAACAAATGGAATGCATTGAGCAGTGATGTGGTGGAGGCTGACTCCATACACAGTTTCAAGTGTAGATATGATAGAGCCTAATAGGCTCAGGAATCTGTACACCTGTTGATTGACAGTTGAGAGGCGGGACCAAAGAGCCAGAGCTCAACCCCCGCAAGCACAACTAGGTGAGTAACTAGGTGAGTACACACACACACACACACACACAGGGCGCTTTACACTGCCTACGTAAGGCCAGTCTTAGAGTATGCCGCCTCATCATGGAGTCCCCATCTGAAGAAGCATATAATGAAACTGGAAAAGGTTCAGAGGTTTGCAACGAGACTCGTCCCAGAGCTACGAGGGATGGGGTATGAGGAGCGCCTGAGGGAACTGTGCCTTACGACACTAGAAAGAAGAAGGGAGAGGGGGGACATGATAGGAACGTATAAGATACTCAGAGGGATTGACAGAGTGGACATAGACGAAATGTTCACACGGAATAGTAACAGAACGAGAGGACATGGATGGAAGCTTGAAACTCAGATGAGTCACAGAGATGTTAGGAAGTTTTCTTTTAGCGTGAGAGTAGTGGGGAAATGGAATGCACTTCAGGAACAGGTTGTGGAAGCAAATACTATTCATAATTTTAAAACCAGGTATGATAGGGAAATGGGACAAGAGTCATTGCTGTAAACAACCTATGCTCGAAAGGCGGGATCCAAGAGTCAATGCTCGATCCTGCAGACACAACTAGGTGAGTACGACTAGGTGAGTACACACACACACACACACACCAGGAACACTCCCTCTCCCATCATCATCTAGCCTCCTCAGCCCAACAATTAAACAGGAAATCATCGTATGAGTTTTCATTCCAAGCTTTTATCTAGCTCTTGGAGACGAACGAGGCCATTAATCTTTCACATTTTACCACTATAAATATGATATATGACAGTGTAGGGTGCTGGAGGAGGTGAGGAACTGAAGAGTGGTGTTGGAGGGGGTGGAACTAGAGGGATGTAGAAGTAATTGAGTGAAGGGAAGGTTGACCTGCCTGGTCCTCACCTATCTTGAGGTTATCTTGAGATGATTTCGGGGCTTTAGTGTCCCCGCGGCCCGGTCTTCGACCAGGCCTCCACCCCCAGGAAGCAGCCCGTGACAGCT